AAAAGTCTACTAAAGACAAAAAAGTTTACTAAAAATTGAAAAATTGAGTCTTTGATTAATCGAGTTGACTTGTCGGAATCAGAGGCCGAGGCGTCTTTGGATTTTCTTTTGCATGAAGCTAATGAGGCGTTGATCAGTGCCTTTCTTGTTCTGTTGAGAGCAAAAGGAGAAACTTATGAAGAAGTATGCTCTCTCTCTCTCTATATGTATATATATACACACACACACACTTTCTATACTACTATATGAAGCACACAACTCAGCTAGTGTCACTCATTTTCTGATATACCCAAATTGCTTGTATGTAACTGTTCAAGTTTCTTATTTAAATCACGCATAACTTTAGAACAGTTTCTTGTTGACATATAGCAAACTGGAAAGGGGTGACCGGATTGAGCTTCTTGTTGACAAAACAGCAACAATGCAAGACAGTGCTTTTCATTTTAAGAAACAGTCTAGGCGCCTCAGTCGTGCTCTTTGGATGAAAAATGCCAAGCTCTTGCCCTTGCTATTAAGTTAGACCTTTTTTTTTCCCTAAACATTGTTATGTTTCAAATTGTTATACTAGATGGATGTGACTTGTGAATGAAAACTTAGAATAGTTGTATTGTGTCGAATGTTAATGATTCAGTTAATTTGAATGATGTTTTAAAATTATAGGTTTACTATGGATTGAATGAATTATTAGGAACTACAGGTGTATTGTTTTCCTGCTTTGGCGACAAATTTATTAGTCGCGACAAATAAATAATTTTTTTTTGAAAAAAATGACAATTGTCGACCAAGAGTTTTGGTCGCAAAAAATACATCTATTGCCGACCAAAACAGTTCTTGGTCGTGGAATCTCACTTTTGCCGACCAAAAGTTTTGGTTGCGAAAAGTAACAAATGGCGACCAAATTTTTTGGTCGTAGAAAAAATATATTTAGCGACGAAGAAGTTTTGGTCGTGGAATGTAATTTTTGCCGACCAATTTTGTTGGTCGTTGAAAATAATTTTTGCCGACCAAATTAGCGACTAACATGTATGGTCATTGAATGTAATTTTTGCCGACCAAAGTCTTTTCGCGACTAAATAGGTTAGTCGCAATAATTATATGTTTAGCGACCAACAATTTAGTCGCCAAATAGAATGTTTTGCCGACTAAAAATCTTTTTAGTCACTAATTACTTTCCGCGACCCTCAATTGCCGACCAACTTGGCGACCAAAAAAATTGGTCGGGAATATGTTTTGCCGACCAAAAATTACACTTTTGCCGACCAATTTTTTGGTCGGCAAATGTGTTAATTCTTGTAGTGATGGGTTGCTCTTTTGCCTAGCCGTTGGGTGTGGGAGAAGTAAAGTCGGCGGAATCCATTGCACTTCTCAGCAGCTTCTTGAAGCAAGTGACCAAATAGGTAGAACAAAAAGGCACCTTCATGAAGAGCTTTGATAGTAGACAGCGAGTCACCTTCAAACTGAACATCCTAATGTCCCAAGTCAATAGTAAACTGAGCTGCTCTTGACGCAGCATAAGCCTCAGCACAATCGCCATCCCCCCATGTTTGAATTTCTTCTAAAAGACAAGCAATTACAGCCCCAAGATGATCTCTCACGATCACACCCACCCCAAGAGATCACCTATGCGAGAAACACAACCCCATGTTTTATGTTTTATGTTTTATGTTTTATCTATGTTGTATTCTTTTTTTTCATTGTCCTTGTGTTTATTTATATGAAGGTCTCCCTCACAACAGATGGCAAAGTGGGTAAATTGTATTAAGGGTGAATTTGTCCACAACTACTTGTGTCATTTTTTTCTTTTCTATTTGTCCCCAACTATAATTTGTCTCCAAAATATAGAAGCTGCAAATTGTTTTGTGGTGGGGTGCAAGTGACACTACAAGAATTAACACTTTTGGCAACAAAAAAATTGGTCGCTAAAAGTCTATTTTTGGTCGGCAAAAGTTATCCGCGACCAATTTTTTTGGTCGCTACTTTGGTCGCCAATTGAGGGTCGGCAAAAGTAATTTGCGACCAAAATTTTGGCTGGTCGGCAAAAGTTAGATTTGACGACTAAATTTTTGGTCGCTAAATATTTAATTTCCGCGACTAATTCATTTTGTCGCGAAAACACTTTGGTCGCGAAAAGTGATATTTTCCCGACCAAATATCTTAGTCGCCAATTGACACATTTCGCGACCAAAAAGTTTGGTCGCCAATTGACACATTTTGTGACCAAAAAGTTTGGTTGCCATATGTTACTTTTCGCGACCAAAAGTTTTGGTCGGCAAAAGTGAGTTTCCACGACCAAGAGCTGTTTTGGTCGGCAATAGATGTATTTTTTGAGACCAAAACTCTTGGTCGGCAATTGTCATTTTTTGCAAAAAAAAATTATTTTGGATGTCGCAACTAATAAATTGGTCGCCAAAGCAGGAAAACAATACACCTGTAATTCCTAATAATTCATTCAATCCATAATAAACCTATAATTTTAAAGCATCATTCAAATTAACTGAATCATTAACATTCGACACAATACATAATTCATTAACATTCGACACAATACAACTATTCTAAGTTTTTATTCACAAGTCACATCCGTCTAGCATAACAATTTGAAACAAAACTATTTGTTATCCATGCACAGCTGTCAACAAATAAAACTACTAATATTTGTTATCCATACACATCCAACCAAAAATATTTAATCCTCCCAAAAATGCTTATACTGCCAAGTAGTCTTATACAATTTACCATGAGTTTTCTTCACCAGAAAATTGGCTTTCTAACTGAGCAAAGCTCCAAAAATTATAATTAAACCTGATCAGAAAATCCTGCCCCACGAGACATGACAATTGCCCATCTACTTCCTGCAGTAGCCATGGTAGTTACATAGAATCCTTCCCTCCATTTTTTATTTATCCACTTGAATGGAAATGACTCGCTCACTTTATAGGATTGCTGTAAATACTGGGTACCTAGGTTTTAAAGTAGTGAAAGTGAGAACAATAGTAAGTGAAACATTAGTAGAAAGGAACTAAAATAAATTATTGAAACATTAGCTTACCTAAAAACATCTGGCCGTTGATCATAATCAACATGTAGACCAGTAGAACCATCACGCCACCTGGTTGTTGCATGTCAAAATGTATTGTCAGAATAATGAAAAACTGGCATAATTCAGTATCGTACTGTGTCTTATATTTGTACTGCAGAGAACAAATGTATATGGTAAAATTTACCCAATCCAAGGTCAACAAGGAACAGTTTTTTCTCATCAGGTGTCCCTGGCGGATGAAGCAAAAAATTCTCAGGCTTCACATCTCCATGCACATATCTGCATAAAGTTGTAACAGTCATATATAGACCATATACTTTAACAAGTGGAAATCGCTACAGCTAAATAATAATAATTGGATTCTAAGTTTATTTACAAACATAGAAAGGGGAAGAAAGAAAAACCTCTCCTCAATGTGATGATTGTGAATCAATATTTTACACAAATCAAAGCAACCTTGTAACAAGCATGAGAAACAAAGTTAGAATTTACCTGAAGGATCAATTCCTTTGACTCATAATCCGAAAGCGGAGAGGCATAAAAAGCCAGTAGAATCTCAAGGATGTTGTTCCTGATATATATTTGAGCATCATCATCTGAATTTAGCCCAGCATACAAGAGACGAAGTATCCAAAGTCTGAGTGTCCTAAACTTCACAGTGTTGCTCCAAAAAAAAGTTTCAAATAATGGTATACACTGCAACCAAAGTCGAAAAATACTATAAGAATTCAGAATTGATCCATGTTACACGCAGAAAGGACATGAATTATATAGCTATTTCTTAGTTAATTGAATATGACTCTTGTCAATGAATAATAGAAATGAATGAATTGCATATAAACCTTATAAGGCCAACTGCTAAACAGCACCAACGACGACTCGTGACATTCCGCGACCAAAAAAAGTTTTGGTTGCCATTTGTTACTTTTCGCGACCAAAACTTTTGGTCGGCAAAAGTGAGTTTCCACGACCAAGAGCTGTTTTGGTCGGCAATAGATGTATTTTTTGCGACCAAAACTCTTGGTCGGCAATTGTTATTTTTTGCAAAAAAAAAAATAATTTATTTGTCACGACTACTAAATTGATCGCCAAAGCAAGAAAACAATACACCTGTAATTCCTAATAATTCATTCAATCCATAATAAACCTATAATTTTAAAGCATCATTCAAATTAACTGAATCATTAACATTCGACACAATACATAATTCATTAACATTCGACACAATACAACTATTCTAAGTTTTCATTCACAAGTCACATCCGTCTAGCATAACAATTTAAAACATAACTATTTGTTATCCATGCGCAGCTATCAACAAATAAAACTATAAGAATTCACAATGCTGATATATATTTGTTCCTGATATATATTTGAGCATCATCATCTGAATTTAGCCCAGCATACAAGAGACGAAGTATCCAAAGTCTGAGTGTCCTAAACTTCACAGTGTTGCTCCAAAAAAAAGTTTCAAATAATGGTATACACTGCAACCAAAGTCGGAAAATACTATAAGAATTCAGAATTGATCCATGTTACACGCAGAAAGGACATGAATTATATAGCTATTTCTTAGTTAATTGAATATGACTCTTGTCAATGAATAATAGAAATGAATGAATTGCATATAAACCTTATAAGGCCAACTGCTAAACTAAATGAAAATAGCATAATCTGATTCCTTGCAGTCAGAAAGCAGATACCTTCACATTCACCCTCGGAGAGCGCAACAAAAAGTTACTTATGGTTAAATAATGATCAGGTGAAGAGTCCAGTAATATGAAAGAAGCCTCTGCAACAAACATAGCAATGATAGAAGGAATCCTCTGCCAAGGATCTTCTATACCATTTTGCAAATACGTCAACAAAAGCCGAAGTCGCACTAAACCCTCCCTCTTTTGACACCTCTGTAATAAATAGTTAGAAATCGTTATGAACAAAGAACTTACAGATACTAAAGGAAAATTAATAACAAAACAGAGGAATATTAAAGACCTTCACAGATAATTTGACGTATAAAAGAAAATTATTCATCTCTCTCTCTCTCAATGTGGGAAAGAAAGAAAGGCAGACCACATATGTTTACAACAATTAAGCTGAAATTTAAAATAAAATAAATTAAAAAAAAGGTTCCTCCAACACTACAAAATACTGGATGACAGCAGCTGGAAATGTAAATGACAAATACATTAACGTTAAGTCATTAAATGGAAACTTTTGTTTTAAAAGGTATGTATAGGAACTTATTTACTGATCGAACAAAAACAGGGGGGGGAAGAAGAAGCCATATTTGTGCATGTATATCCCTTCCTGTCGCCACGCCCGATCCACTTGAATCCACCCTTACTGCCTCCCAAACCCACCCTAGTCCCCCACCCCCACCCCTTCCCCTTAAAATACCCATCACCATTGCCACATTCTCTAATTCATTTTTCACAACCAATGTGGCGATGTGTATTTTAATGATTCATGTCAGGTGGTTGATTCGTGCCGAGAAGGAATCGGCACACTAAATATATGCACTAAACTTTTTTGCACTCACTCTGGTTCATATTATTTTCCTCTAATATGGCACTTATATATATGTGTGTGTGTGTGGATTTCCAACTCTCTGGACAAATTTTGTGTGCTTGCATGTGATGAAAGCCAAGGTGTTAAAGCTAGCAGAAAGAAGTGGATAGGGTGGTGGGAGAAGGGATGGGCAAAAATGCCTTTTTATCTATGATTTTGACTTAACAATAATTAAATTCTCATACATAGTTTTGTAGAATACTTCCCATTTTATGTACTCTCTCTCTCTCTCTCTCTCTCTCTCTCTCTCTCTTCCATTTTATGTACATAGAATATTTTCCTATACAAATTCTCTAAGTAACACATATGTATCTATGTAATTATGTATTGGCCAAAAAAAAAAAGATATATACAATTCTTTATTTTTTAGGCTAATATAAAAAAAATAAATAAATTAGAACTTCAAATTATCACTTGTACATTTATATAAAATGGGCCAAGCCTTGGACAGGCTGAGCTATTTATTGCCCAAACTCAGCTGAATTCACTTTTGGGCCTAACTTTGTCCAAACTCAACCCGTTCCCAATTTAATATTGGCCTGGAATTGTATGGGTTGAACAGGCAGGCCTCAAGCTTAGCTGGCCCTATTGATTGATCTACTTATATGTATATGTAAGCATGCTTTTGCGTAGAGCAAACTAGAGAAAATAGATCACCAACATAGAGTTGAGTTTTGGGGTGTAGTCAGATGTTTCCTACAAACTCCAAAACTTTGACCCTCCTAATGGTGTGTTTGGTTGGGGGATTTGGGGAGGGATTTGGAAAGGGAAAGGGAAAAGGTGTGTGAAACTATGTGAAATATAGGCATGATTTATTCACATTTCACCTACCTTTTCCATTTCCCTTTCCAAATCCCTCTCCAAATCCCCCAACCAAACACAGCATAAAAGCAAGTGCTTCCACAATCGCACACTGAACGCTAATGCAGCCTCATTCCAGCTTGAATTGTTAACATTACACACACAATAGGAAGAACAAATAACAACCCAAAATTATGAAAAATTTTGCAGTACTCACAGCATATTCCATAAACAGCAATTTTGATGAAAGACAGAAGTACCTCTAATGCAGTCTTGAATCTTCCAAGAGCCTCATAACCCAATTTCCTCATCTCATCATGTGGTGAAGATATGCTAACGAATGCAATTGCGAGCAACCCTAAACTAGCAAACTCCATAGGCTCAATGTAACCCATTGACAGACTATGAATTGAGAAGTGCAATATGAAAACAGGATCATATATTCGTATTTTCTCAACATTTGCATAAGGTGTCTGCGTAGAATAAAATCAACAAATTAATCAGAATTGCAACTGGGCCATGGATAAGTTCATAATAACAATAATAACAACAACAATAATGACAATAACAAATTATATAAACAAATAGTTGAAAACTGCAGCATGCCATAAGAGGAGTTTTTGGGTGAATATGCCATAAGAGGAGTTCAGCTTCACTGTAGTCAGACAAATACCTCAGAATTATCATGCCGATACTTGGACAAGAATAAAGTTCCCTCACTTACAGTTCTATCATAAGAAAAATGTAGCATAGTAGTTGCACACACTTTGGGGTCAACAGGGAGGTTTTCCCTAAATTGACTTCTTCGGCGTTCTTCAACTGCTTCAACATCATTCATATTAACAGATGACAGATCCTGCTCCTGTTCTCGTTCTTTTCTTACTTTTATAGTAGCAGCTCTCCAAAGGTAATCCATCTCAGCAATGCTTCCAGAATTTGATTCACTAGCAGACTCAATTTCAAACATGAGATCATATATTTCCAAGTCAACTTCACTGAGTGTTGCACCATAAGAAGACAGAAGCAAGAAAACCAATTCTCTAGAATTCACACTGATGTCTTTTTTGAAATCAAAACCACACTGCTGAGACGTGGCCAAGGGCTTAATGTGTAAACGAGTTTGAACTCTTTGTTGTAACCAAGTGTTAACTTGGAAAGCTGTAAGCCCGTAGGGCATTTTGTTATGAGGTTAACATGTAATACTTATGTCTTGGAATTCTAATGAATGAAAGGAATGCGGTTAGTTTAAATGTAAATTCATGTCTTATCTGATGGGTTTATTGCTATTAATTTGAGGGCGTTACATAGGCTTAACGATCACACCAAACTGAGAACCACCAGATGATTTGGAAACATAATGTATGGTAGGTGCAAACTGAGAGTGAGCAAGCCGCAACTGAAGCACTAAACTGTTTGAGTTCCCATCAGATAGCAAAGTAAGAACACTTCGTAGCATCTTCAGTGTTGCAGGATCCTCAAACCTATGAAAAAGAGACAATCTCACCAATTGTTCAATGAATGGAAGAGAATTCAATTTGATAAGACAATTATGCATCTCTCTAGTTAACTCCAGAATATATCTTAGAATGAAGGCCTCCAAAAACATGAACAAGAAATAGTTTGTGCCAATGACTTTTCCAGAGTCCTCAGACTTTGAGGGGAATTTCTTGACAATCAACTGCCAAGTCCACACCAATATGTTCATAAACCGAAATCTTGACGAGTCCTCTTTATTAGATCTCACTTCTGAATGAATCTCCTTCATATTCCCATCTTCCTCCGGCAGAGACTGAATCTGATTATCTGAACGAGTATTGTTAGATGTTCCTTTAACACATATCTGAACGAGGCAGTAAGTACAACCAGGCAGTAGGCAGAAGCATCACAAAGTCATCATCTGAACGAGTATTGTTAGATGTTCCTTTAATCACATTGCCCTTGCGAAGCAAATATTTATTCATCATATCTGAAAACAAGTTTCCAAAGACTAAATAATTAAAGGGGCTCACTTCAGTAAGATGAAACAATATGTTAGCTCTAGTCATGTTAGTATTGTGGATGCAGCAAGAAAGTACTTTTATCGGAGTTTTTACTATCACCCTCGATATATCCATACTTAGAGGAATGTGCTGGTTTTGCATTACTTTATGTATGTTTGCGACATTAACAGTTTTCAACAAACATAGATCTGCAGCATCTAGCTCAAAACCCATGGCAATTTCAATGACTTCAAAATAAATATTCTCAAACAGAAGAACATCAAAATTCTTTCCCTCCATTCCCCAAAACATATTGTATGATATTCGTTTAGTATATGGCTGCTGCAAATAAGCTGATAGCATATCAAAAGCACAATCAGCAATCCATAATCCAACTGAGAGAGCAGAAATTTTAGATGATACCTGAAGTGCATATTCACTATGGTCAATCCTAGAAAACATCCAAAGCACTAGTTCAAGCAGCTCAAAAGGGGATATGAAGTGAATCAAAGTGTGTAGAGTGTACAATGTAGGGGTAAGGGGCTTCAAATATTCAGTTTTTATGCAATGGATCTTATTTGAAGAATGGGGCCTTGGTAACAGTTCTGTTGGATGTCCAAACTCCCTAGTAAATGAGATTCATGAAGATCTTTCTTGGGGGAAAAGATTAGATGTATTACTTAAAAGAGAAGACATCACAATTCTGTTTACAGTGCCCGACACAGTTATAGTTAAGTACTTAAGCTAGAGAAAAATAGCTTATTTCCATTCTATAATCCATTAATTACAGTATCAAGAATCAACCCATTGAACTATGTTCAAAATAATCATCAACTGTAATTTATACATCCTATTTTCATCCCTTTCTTCAAACACTTCGTGCCCAACACACAATACTAATTGGGTTCCCAGGTCCGGTTACTCTAATCAGGGGCATCTGCGGCAGCGTTGTAAACTAAGAGCATGGAAAAGATGCTAAAGGGTAAATTTCCTTGGCGTTAAACCTCCTTTTCATGTCATAAATAATCTATTTTGTTTCAGGTTTGATCAGACTAGATGCCATTGATGATCATACTCATTAGCCTCCTAATTTCTTGAAGGGTTCCTACTAATTATAATCTTACGTTTGATGATGAAGCTGGTATTTAATCATTGGACCGGTACTCTGACTTCAGATCCAGTAAGAGATAATCCCCTTAGAGAAATGTGGAGATTTGATTTTAAAAATTTAGACAATAGAGACTAGGGGATTTGAGTACAAGGTGGCTAAGTGATACTACTGAGCTTAGATGTCATGGATAACTTCACATAATTATATTATTTGGAGTAAGAGAAACTTTAGGGAAGTAGGATGCAAAAATTATTAGTATTAGTTATCATTTTTATTAGATCGAAAAGTGTATCGGAGAAGCATTACAGGCACTCTTAGGATGAATGATATATTTGGACCAACTATCAGACTATCAAACTTGTGAAGCATGCTATGTGCAATTGATGTATGCTGATTAAAATGAAGGAGAGAGATTTAAGATTGCATATGCGAGGAAACATGTTTTTACTCTTCAAACAATGAATATCCAAGAAATATCATTTGTATGAAACGAGCACTATTAAGTTGATAATTTCACAACAGATAAGTGACCGGAAAAGTCAAAATACATTGGAATATAGATGCTTTATCTCAATATGCTTGTGTCATTCTTGTGCATAATCAGTGCTAATCTTCTCTTTATGCTTTGAAATGTTGATTATCCAAAAAACATCATGAGTATGAAACAAGCACTATTCAAGTGATAATTTCAGGACAAATAAGTGTCAAGGCAAGTCAAAAATAGGATGCCAGTATGAATACTAGAAGGGAAATGCTAAAATTGGAATATATGTAAAAAATGTATTGAAATATGTAAAAAATGTATAAAAATATTTAACAATATATAAAACATGTAAGATGTGTATTACCATTCTATTTTTTATTTTATTATATTTTTTGCATTATTTGATCCATAACCAACACCCCATTGGGCTGTGGCTAGCAGAGTCCATTCTAGAAATGGACTTAAAAGAGTGGCAAGATGAAAGAACAGTTAAGGAGATGTTTTTGGCCTGGGGTTGGACCATTCCAATCAAGGGCAATAAGATTGAACATCAATATACTGGGAGAGGAAATGCAATGCTAAAGTGAAATGTTGATTCAATCATTCAACAGAAAAAAAAAAAGCCGTAGTTGAAGGCCTCATACTGCTTTCAAAATTCTATCCTCTCTTATTTTCTACTAAAGCTTTTATGAGAGATAAAATAGTTTAAGAAATAGGGTAGAACAAATCGCTGCTAAATCGAGCTCTCCGACAAAAAAAATATATATTGAAATAGAGAAAATGACATATATATATATATATATATAAACCACTAACAAGAACTAAAAAACAGAGACAAATCTAAAAGATTGATCATATTGAAGATCTACGTGCACATCAAACTTCAACAACAACAAATCACAAACAAATCGTCAAGATAGATAGATCATATTCAACTTTCATTGCAAAAATAGAATCAAAAACCACAATTCATAGCTTTCATACGCCAAATCAGATCAGTTTTATTAAAGCTAAACCAATACAAACAACACACAGATTGAAATAGAGAAAAGAGATTGAAATTGATCGCACCTTTAGACGAAATCGAAATGCATGAAGCTTTGAGACGGCGTAGAGATCAAGCACAGAGAGAGAGAGAGATAAGAGGCAGGAGAACCGTCGTAGGATTAGGGTTTGATAAGAAGAGAGATCAATCATGGAATAGAAGGAAGGGGTCGTGTATATACCTGAAGGATGAGGTCGTCGTAGATATCGATGATCTTGTTGTAGGATTTCCTTATGTAAGCGCTCGTTCTCAGTCATCATATCTTCCAGACGCTGTTCGTTTCGTTTTGCTTGATCTAGGATCGGCTGCACAGTCTCCTACACATAAGTTGAAGGTGAGGTTTGAGCTACTGGATCGAAGTTCAAGGCCCTTTGCGCGGTGATATTCTCCGATCCAAACATGTTTCTTGGAGTAATGTCATCTCTTGGTGTAATATCGTCAGCAACTATCGAAGGATCATCTGTCTCGCCTGCCATGGATGCACTTGAGTATTCCTACAGATGGCGCCAATTGTGGTGAAGCGGTTTAGAAATACTCTTGGATCTAGTTAGATGCTCTTGATCCTCTGATTGCTACCTAAAAAAGAGATGAACACTCCGGTCGGGAGTGTCGGAATTAGCACTCCGACAGACAAGTCAGTATCCTCTCAAATTTACTTCTATCTCAAGCTATCTTTTTTGTTTTCACATACCTCTCTTTGGCTGGCATTCCTCCCTTTTTATATTACGTCTAGACCCAAGGGTCGAGCCCACTCTTGACCTTGCACATAGTTATTTAGTCGGCCTTCCTACTGAGTGTTGGCTCCCCGTTCAGCTCCTTATATGGCCGATTCGAATACTCGGCTCCTTGAGCCCCTGGTTAAGGCCGAATTGTCTTCGGCCTGATGTCTCAACCGGATTCGTTGGCCTTCCTCATTAATTCAACTCGGCCTCCACACTTTCAACTTGTATTTTGAATTAAGCTAGTTTTAATATAAGGGTGGGCATTTATGAAATACAGATTAAGTCATTAATTTTTTTTGAATTCATATAATAATAAATAAATAAAAAATATATGATGTGGCAATACTCAATAATCTATCATGCTAAAATTTTGTAACATACTTATATTGTGTCACCATGGTTATTCAAAGGGCTACCAATGTGCTTATATAAACAAGCCCCCGGCTGCATTTATTTGGAATCAAATTCATCTCATGTTGTCTTCTTTCTTTCGGCACTTTGTCAGCCTTTTATAAAAAAGAGTTCTAAACAGCAAGATTTGCTACCTAAATCTTCAAAAATTTGGTCCTGTCTAAAAAAAAAAAAAATCTTCAAAATTTGGTATGTTAAATATTTTGATAAACTATCAATAGATTCTAATAATTTGATTTAATTCCTATAGAGTCCTATTAAAAATAAGTTCTTGTAAAATCGTCACTAAAAATAATTTTTTGTGATAAATTTTTTTTCATATTACTAAAAATTGAC